AAGTCTAAAAAAATTAAAATGTGTTAGGGAAAACCATGTGGAGGATATTTCCAGATTTGACGCGTCAGTGACAAAAATAATGTCCGATGCAAATCCCTGTTTGACATGTACAATGTTTTCGTATATTTTCGAGTGAACAATTGACTTGCCTTTTCATGTGTTTGTGATGGGTGCCTTCGGTGTGTCAGGATATGTTCATCCTTTCGCGAACGCCTGGTATCATCATTTATGTGATAGTGATTCAGGTTCTGTGAAATGTAGGCTGTTTCATTGAAAGAGCCTGCTCGATTGCACCTCTACAATTGTGAACGTAAATGTACTAATCCCACATTTCACATAGATCCTATCTGTGAGGAAGTCCAGTGTTTCACATATTCTTTTTTCAGTAAACTTCAGATGACATTTGCCTTTGCATGTGTTTTTGACGTGTGCCACCGGTGGGGCAGGATACGCCCACCTTTTCGCGAACACCTGGTATCAGTACTATTTGATAGTCATTCCTAAACACATGCTCATGATATAGTCAGAAACGTACAATCGACTCTGCTTTATGCAGAGATTTCTATTGGATATGGAAAGGTTTTGTCGCTTTATATTATTTTTTGACAAATTGTCCTGAACTTTTGAAGACAGACTAAATATGTGGTCGCCACTTATGGTGACAATGCCCCATGGATCAAGGAATTACGTTTTTTCTTAAGTTTGTCGTGTGGTCATAATTGAACTTCTTTCATGGTCTTCAGAATCATTTATGGTATTAATTCAACTTGTCCACATAAAGTTCATCTATCGCGCATCACTTACGACTCACCAAGTGAATGATCATGGCACTGCATTGTTATAACCCTGCTATTTTGATCAGTGTGCTATCGGATATCATTCTCAGCTCCGTGGGGAGTATATAAACCAAGCTGTGTGGCGCTAGAAGGTTTACAGGTTTAATAGAGCGAACTTATATCATGCGAGGACATATTTCCGACATATGATTGTTTCAAACCTAAAAGCGTTTTTTACAGGACGCGAACGTCCCCGATGATCTTTTGGTGACAAATATAAACAAAATCGAAAATAACAATATTTCCTAATTGGAAAAGGGGGCCACGTTGGCACATGTTTTCACGTGTACAGAGCGTCGGGGCCGTGTATTGAATTGTTTCTTGAACGTCAACTTTGGAACGAACACTCTGGTCAATTTAACCTCCCAAATGGACAGCTGGAACAATTGATTTCATACATATTCATTTTTTTTAAGACATATTCACGGTTTAAAAAAAAGGAAAAGTCAAAATCAAAACTTCGCCTGGACGGGCAACCAGACGGACGAGCTGATTCACGGACAAACTGGTGTCAATTTCCTCCGCCTCATATGCAGGGGTTTGTGTCAGATTACAACATTAATACTGAAGTGAATATTTATATTACCTTTATTGCAAATTAGTGGTAAACGTTCATGCAACATGTTATACCTCACGAATATGAAGACAATGGGTGTGTTTCTCTCTGCTTGGCTAATGCCCACTCCGTCCACATAATTCCGCTACGTCAAGATTCAGTGAACACTGCTCATTAAGGGAATTAAACGTCATCTGAAATATGAATGGATAAATTATGTGGAGAAAGACGCTGATGGGGATTTCACATGAAGAACAGGTGTGTGTTCCCACATTGATAGTGTACATTACCGTACTTCACATACAAAAAGAATTTCCGTTCGACGACTCCGTTCACTATGTGTCTATACGATGAATGTACCTACGTAGCGTGTATCTATTGGAGTAAATTCTTTTTAAAACATACCTAATTTATGATGAATAAAATTACATTTGAGGATAAAGTAAAGAAATATTTTTGTCATATTGTCGTCTTCCTTGTTTAAAAGGATTACTGTTACAGAGGGTTAAACCCAACACACTCACTCACTCGTTATTTAAAAAACGATTTAGGAAAAGTCTTTTAGATATTCGTTAATCACATTTATCATTGTTTTTTGCCTGCATCGAGAAACGAACAGACAGGTCCTAACTTTAATCTCCTTTTCAACAACAGATCTACAATTTGGGAAACGTATAAAAGGAAAACAAAGAATGAAATATTTAAAGAGGACAATTTACTTTGTTGAAATATGCATTGGTTGAATGTAAAGGAGTCTCCCCTTTGTTTGCACTGCTGTGTTGTCACGCGACTGTTGTTGACAAAATTACAAAGATCAGAAAGAACTGTTAGTTTAATATTTCAACACGTATTTAAATGTATTGTTACGATCCGGGGGATAGGAAATGTACAATAATAATTCATGTGTCGTATTTAGCAGAGGACGGATTTAAAGATAAGTTACTGTCACAACGTGCACGGAGTAAAGTTAAAAAAGACAAATCTGGGATTAACATATGTTTTAATGTGGCAAACGCAAACATGAATATGAAGTTCAGATCAATTTCAGTATTTTAAGAATTATGAATATCCGCTTGCATAATACATTTTCTTACAAATTCATCACAACCGGATACGGGAGTCAAACTTTAATAGGATTAGCGACGGTGACGCGCATCCCTCAAAACATGATAATAAAGTTATATGCCCCTCAAGTTGAGCTCCAACATCCTGAAGACAGGGACGAGTTTGTTGTAATTATTAATGACAACACTTAACGTCACAAAAACTAATATCAAACACTTGAACAAACTCTTCATGCCACTTCTTCCAAACGACATAAAACAGACATATTGACCACCGCGGTCTGCTCTCAATCAGCCCCGCAAACAGATAACCGGCCCCCATATTTGTCTGCACCCTCCACCCCTCTCCCTCCATCATAATACCGGTCCATTCATACGAGGTGTGGACGTACCCGCTCGGCGATGTTCAGGTGAAATTCTAAGTGTTCGCGTGTTGAGATTCACAGCTCCTGTCGCTAACAAAGCTTGAGCCATGTTGTTCATTTCCGAAAGTTGTCAATTGCCACAGGCCCCAATCAGCGCGTCCACAATTCACGCGCGCACGTGCTGTTGTATTAATTGACTTTGTCTTCCCTCGCGGCGAGCGCTTCTTCAATTCTATCGTTTTGTCTGTGACATTTTAATTTGTTTGGGTACCATGAATGATTTTTGGGTTCACCTACTACGAGATTTGGTGGTGAGTTCATTAGACCAGCCTACTCATTAACAATGGCCGACCAACTAAACTAAAATAAGTGACATTATATATTGCAGAGGCCAGAGGATTTAAGGGGTTTGTTCTAATCTCTTAAAAAGACTGGTCAAATTTCTCGTTTGTTTTATGTCATTTTAGTTTTGATCTAATAACGAATAATAAAATATTCATATATTAGTTTTGATATGATGATAATATAAAAAATCAAATAGTTTCCTAGTTTGGCGTTATTGTTGTAACCTGTGCAACTGTTTACAGATAAGTCAAATTTAAATGTTATTTGTTTTTGAACTAAGATAGTCTGCATAAGTATAGTGTTCCATTGCATATTTTAAAAAATAAATGGGTGTTATGAGACACACTTACTCACTCAACATTATACTTCGACACAAAAAACAATATCTAAAAGATGTTTATTATGTTTATGCAAATAATCAATCCTGACATATCTAATTACACCAACATTACTATAAAATGTTACAATGTTGAATTATGAAATTAAAGTTCAAAGAAACAACACAGAACGTAATAGCTTTTCTTAATCCTCAAGGTACACTCTTTTAAATTATCAAAGCTTCCATCCGTCGTTACATGATGTCTTTCTTCCACTCTCAGCGATGGTTTGGCAGATACTTCGACAATGTGAAGAAACCGACTAATTACAATTAGAACCCTTCTACCACTACTCAATGAATGAGCCAAACGTTGAAAATAGGACCCTATTACATTTGTCTATGGGGAAAAAGTCTTCAAAGTATTGACCTAAGCTACGCCATTGCCATCGAGGACGCCATTAGCAGTCATTACTTTGATTCCAGCATTAAAATACTAATTCACATTTGACAATATGCCTTTGATCTTATATTTCGCGGAGACGGAAAATACACTGTTCGCTTTCTGGAGGAATTTTCTGCACTGTCGTCATAGCCTTTGTTTAACAAAAAGTGAGTTTGTTTATCGAAGAGTGATTCACTCGGACTAAATCCCCCAAAGGTGGACGCTAAGCTGATACACGCTCAGTCCTTTGAGAATCTCTACCCAAATTCATAAAAAAGTAAAATCAATTAAGAATTTTCCTACAATTGTAACTCAATTAATACGACCAAACATCTTCCTCGCGGGGACAGATAATACAAGACTTAACCTCGCCAAAACGACGTCAAAATTGAATAAAAAATCAAACCGAGTATCTCGCCCTGGATTTACCTAGTATTTGATCGGATTTAGTATCTTGAATGTGTTTGGAACTCGGAACAAAACGCCGTGTCTCACAAAATGAAGGCTGATTAAGGGGGACTTTTGCTCGGCCCTAGTTATTTCTATGTTAATGAGCAGTTGAGTTACTGAGTTCGCCAACCCGCCTTCTTGTCGAGAGAGGTTGTGAGGAGAGAGGCTAGTACTACACGGCGGAAATCATCCAATAGCATCTACACCTCACAGGTGAATAACAAATGACACGTGCCCATTAAACGTCGGGCGAGTCCATTCCGGCTTAGGGGATGTCGTGGCATCTTCGTTTCGTTCAACGTGCGGGCTTTGCACTTGCGTTATTTAAATATCTTAAAAGTTTCGTTTTCAATTTATAATACATAAATGGATTTATTTTATTCAATAACTTAAAACAAGAAATATCAGTTTAAAACTTTTCAAACTTGTCAACTTATTTCAGTCAGTGCCATTATTCAAGAAATCGAATTTATTTTCAACTTGGTTTAAAACTATAAATAAAAGCAGCCATAGAAAAAATAACACCCGCCCAGTCGAGCATGAATCAGGCAGGTGAAGTTACCCTACCACCCTCGATGGTTAACAATAGACTCGCTCATCAAATAGCATCCTTTGTAGCAGATTCTGATTCAAGTAGCGGGGCTATAACAAGCCACGACTAATTTGATGTCAGCTGATCTCACGGTAGCTCTCACAACAGCTTGTTCATTTCATCCTCAGACAGAGTCGAGACACCCGAGGCACAATTGAAAACGCCCCGTAAAATTGAAAACACCCGTTTTCGACAAGTGTACCGGATAACATGGACCTGAGCGATCCCAGTCGCCACCACGGAAGTAAGTACATATACATGTTCATTAGAAAAATGGCCTCTTATTCCTAAATTTGGCATTGCCATTTCAAAACTATTTTTTCTTATCTCAGGCAAACATTTATTTGGTCAATTTGAAAACATCTTGTCGTGAAAATGATAAAACCTATTCCTAGGGGATTTTACTCATTTTAATAATTCTTATTCGTTTGAATTTTTACCTAAATAATTTCCGATTTTATTCTAGTCATTTGACATGCATTCGTTTTATTTTTTTCATAACATAAAATTGGTTATTATTATACATGAAATTACGCAGAACCGGTATTCATAATTATTTTATTCAGTGATATATTGTAAATTGTTTGAAACATATTGTATCAGTATTCTTCTCAAATGTCAGGAACCACAACTTAAAGTTCCTTGGCACTGCAAAATATTTAATTTTATTTTCAATCGTTCACCCTGCGTAACTGATTATAAATTATGTGTGTATTCGCAGAGTTCTATTTTCTCCCGTTGTTTAGATATTTGTGTATAGTACATTCATGCACCGATGACTTAGCGTTACAAATGACACACAGACATAACGATAAGATTGTGGTAAACACGGAAGCCTTATTGAGTAGAATATAAGCACAAATGGGTTTCTATACGTATTTGGGCACACCACTGCCGCGCCCTAGGCGGGATAATCTTGTCACCTGTATTTCTTTATGTTTGACTCAACTCCAAAATTATTTTTTCTAAAGTGAAACATTATATTTCAGAATAACAGAGTCGTGGTAAATCGAAATTAAACCAAACTTTGAAATGTGGTTGGTTAAGTGGGCATATATTTCGATAGAACACATATTCAAGCATGACGCAAAACAATTCCACCTGATATACTCTCATCTCTAGCTTGTGACGTGTTGGTTTTCATATGTCACATTGAGATACTCATATTATCGTATAATATAAGTAATAAGTAATCAAACAGATTCAAAACTATTGTTTAAATTCTAAAAGTATCAAATGTTGAATATAACAGAAAATTATCGACATTTGAGTTTTAGTTCACATCAGGATATAGGGTTTACTTACATAGAAATAAATACATAATTAAACTGATGTTGCTAATATTACATGCCTAGTGTTAAGTAAGAACACAGCAATATAACTACTCTCCACTTACTCCGAGTCACGTCTACGTCACAGCGCAGAATTATGAGATAACTTACTTTGACAGCTTAATGCACAACATCACGGACCTTAAAATATGTTATTTTCCTCGACCACATTATTGTGGTAATGGGATCTTATCTGAACGACCGTTTTTATCAAATCAGAAAAGGAAAACATGATACGACAAAGGGGATCCACTTGACTTGTGCGGTTGATCAAATTACGGAAAATATGTTGTATCGTTTAGATTAAATGTATAAAATAACAATAACAGATAAGAATATGTCGATGAAAGAAAGAAAAAAATGTTAATTCGTGAACAAAAACTATGGGGCCCCCACCGTCTCCATCCTCATGTGCATCTGACGGTCCACGTGATAATATATGTACAAACAGGATCCAGGCGAGGGTTTCGTGGTAGTTTAAGTAATACAAGCTTTTAAAAAAACAACCAAAATTCGTTTATCGTTTTATGACTTTTAATGGCGACGGTATTCATTCACTGAATATTTAAACTTGGATGTCGTATGTGATGTTGCATGTCGGGTCCGGGTGAACTGTATGCATCTTTCAGTTCCTGGTGTTGACTCACCTATTGTTTCATATTAAAGTAAGATTAATTATATTGTTATCTAAGTGTTGAGACGTAAAAATCAAAGACTATATGTTATTTCGACAAATACTAGTTTGTGAACAGAACACAAATTAAATCAATAGCGTTTACAGTGATGAATGTTTAAATGCTAATAAATCAGTATCTTGATACATCGTTGTTAGAAATATAGCAATTTAAGTTTTTATTATTAATTACTATTGATTTATTTGTATGCAATGCGATTGTTAAATAATTTAAAACATTAAAACACTAATGAATGAAACTATGAAACATGAGAGTGGCTACTTGAATTAAACCGTAACATGAATAAGGGGAAAGTGTATGTATAAACTAGTTTTAGTCATGTGACACTGACACAAGTGTTTTGGATAAATGACATTTACCCAAATGAGCAAATGTTATAAGATCCTATCGTAAAAAAAAACCCAATTTATTAAATGCCTTTTTGGTGTGAAGAATTAATAAGTAATTTATTATGACAGTGGGAAAAGGGCTAAATCTCCCAAATCTGACCTAAACCACAAGACTAACCATGTGATTTCCTATTTCATACACTAACCGCCATGGCTCTCTATAATTGCCCATTAAGACAAGATACCACATTGTCAAGTTATCTAGTCATCTGCATATCGCAGATTAACAGTTTCCTCGCATATGTTGGCGACAGGTCATTCTTCTGAATGGGCAGCAAAACGCTAACAGCCCTCACAAAGAGAAATGATATAAAGGTTGATCGTTATTGATAGGAATATGGTTGGGGGATATGGTAGTATTGTTTGACGATGTGACGCCAACCTGCTTTATATCTGTTGAAACTTGGCTTAAAGATAAAATCTGTCACTAATTGAGTCCCATATTGAGGGATTTCGTCACACCGTCGGTTGGTAAAATGCCTGGAGTTAGGACGGCAACGATAAGGTTTTAATCAAAAGTCGAAATCGAAGCAATATGAAACTGTACAATTTTATCAGATAAGTATTGGTATATATTAATGTGATGAGAGGAGAATGTTGACATCATGCCATCCGTTTTAGCATCCTCATCAGTGATAAGACCGTTGAATTAGTGATAAAACAGAATACTAATTTATAATACCTCAAACAGCTGTTGGAAAAATCCTGATTACAACCTTTTAGTGATCCCTGCTGTGTAGTCTAGCTTCATAAAGTTTTATGATTTTTCTCAGCAAAAAAAAATAAGCATATGCTTGCACAACAAAATGAAGACACGTGTTTAGCTAAAGAACATTCAATTAAACTACAGACTAGAAATTTGTGCTGATCGCTATCGTTTTTTAAAATGGTGTATGTAAAATATACAAATTTTATTAAAGCATGATATGTTGTCATAGATGAGATGTTGCGAATAAATAACGCATTGTCACAAATTGATATTTGCCTTAATGAAGAAAATGTAAGGTGTTATCGTTGTATTAATATGCCAAGTTATTTCAGCTATCCACTTTCAATTACACCGTAATGTCGTGGACGTATTACAGTTATCGGAATACGCTCTCCAGGTTTTGAACACTCTGTCTGAGGGTACCGAGGGGATGTGTGGGCGTGAGAATATCAATTCTTTTTTTAACCTTTTTTAAATGCCATCATTTTCCGTTGGTAGGCGAGGAGTGATTCGGCAATGATTCTTGGATTTGTCGATTACTTTTTTCAACTCCTTTCCCCGCGTGGGGATTCTGGGCCAGGTTCCATCGAGCTGACTGGCGGGGTGGGGAGATTCAGCTTGGGGTGATGGCTGCTCATGCGATCAGTCACTGGAATATTTCTGACGGCAGACTGTTACATTCACTCACTCACTTTTGCCTCATTTCCTCGTCTTGTCCACGAAATACTGGTGTGAACACAGAATAACTGGTCATGTGAGAAATCATGGACAAACACCAGTGTCTTTAAAACCAATATTTAATTCTTAACGTAAACGCATCAAAAGCATTTGCCGTATAAATCTATCTACATGCTGTATATCTATTGACGTTTAGTGGCTACAGTGCCATGCACCACAGCGTGTCAAATACACTGTGTCATGCACTACAGCGTGTCAAATACAGTGTCATGCACTACAGCGTGTCAAATACAGTGTGTCAAGCAGTACAGTGTGTCATGCACTTCAATGTGTCGTGAACTTCAGTGTGTCAATACAACGTGTCATGCACTTTAGTGTGTCATCTGTCATGCACTCGTGTGTCAATACATTGTGTCATGCACTACAATGTGTCGTGAACCTCAGTGTGTCAATACAGCGTGTCATGCACTTTAGTGTGTCATGTGTCATGCAATAGTGTGTCAATACAGTGTGTCATGCACTTCAGTTTCTCATACACTATGGTGTGTCATGCACTATGGTGTGTCATGCGCTACACTGTGTCATGCACTAGTGTGTCAATACAGTGTGTCATGCACTTCAGTGTGTCATGCACTATGGTGTGTCATGCGCAACACTGTGTCATGCAAAAGTGTGTCAATACAGTGTGTCATGCACTTCAGTGTGTCATTCACTATGGTGTGTCATGCGCTATACTGTGTCATGCAATACAGTGTGTCAATACAGTGTGTCATGCACTATGGTGTGCCATGCGCTACACTGTGTCATGCAATAGTGTGTCAATACAGTGTGTCATGCACTTCAGTGTGTCATTCACTATGGTGTGTCATGCGCTATACTGTGTCATGCAATACAGTGTGTCATGCTCTATGGTGTGTCATGCGCTACACTATGTCATGCAATAGTGTGTCAATACAGTGTGCCATGCACTTCAGTGTGTCATGCACTATGGTGTGTCATGCAATAGTGTGTCAAAACAGTGTGTCATGCACTTCAGTGTGTCATGCACTATGGTGTGTCATGCGCTACACTGTATCATGCAATAGTGTGTCAATACAGTGTGTCATGCACTTCAGTGTGTCATGCACTATGGTGTGTCATGCGCTACACTGTGTCATGCAAGAGTGTGTCAATACAGTGTGTCATGCACTTCAGTGTGTCATGCACTATTCCAGCTTCATTTTAGATATTACGACGGTTTGTAAATGATCGTGTCTGCGTCATCAAACCAGTGGTTGACAGCATGAGCCATGTCCCACGTCTCGGGGCACGAGGACACACATATTTGTTGTGAATGAGTGAGTATGTTTTTACGCCACTTTCAGCAATATGTCCAGGCGGGGACACCTGATGTAGGCTTCACACTTTGCACCCATGTGGGAATCGAACCCAGGGCCTTCGGC